TTCTGGCCCTGGATAAGCTTCTCTTACCAAGGGTGAGCAAGATTTATGTGGCAATTTGAGCAGCTGGTCTCCTGGGAGTGTTCCTTTCTCTGGAGAATTGCACATGATCTGGCTATCAGCTCTGAGTAGAGCTAATGACACGCGTGCCCGGCTGTCGGGCAAGCAGAGGGTAGCCCCGTACGCACAGCTGATGGCTGGGGCTAGAAATCCCTCCTGTACAGAGGGCACTGAGCCTGCTGGTTTCTGCATGTTAACTTGCATAATGAAAGGGGCAAAATTGCTCTCTGTGGCATATCTAATGTCACTTTAGTGCAGTTCGGACAGCTGTATGCACAGCGAGACTGGCGTAAGGTCCCACTGCAGGAGGGATCCTGGACCCCGTTCCCCATGTGCCCACTGTGGTAGTGCCTGGAGCTCGCCCTCGGTGTCAGCTGAGCTGCCGTAAACAGGCTGTGTTAGTAGAAGGGCTTGTCACAGCTCTCTGCGTGTTGTTGTGTGTACAGTGAAGAAACTGTGGGAGGAAGCTGTGGGGCAGTCGGATCGAGTTGTAACGGCGTAGAACCATGGCGTGGTTTGTGATGGAGGGAACCTTTAAAGGTCATCTAGTCCAACCCCCCTGCAACGAGCAGGGGCATCTTCAGCTGGATCAGGTTACTCGTCTGGGCAACCACATTTGTATTCTAGGGATATTAAACTGGGACAACAGAGGTGAGTGCCACACAGCTGTCCAGGCTGCTCCTCCTTCGAGGTTATTGCCTTTGCCGCTTTTGAAGTAGCTCCCGTCCCATGGCGGTTCCTGCCTGGTGCGTAGGTCCACGCGGAGCTCCTTTTTCCCCTCATTACCAGTGCACGTTTGTGTCTGGCTGTGTGCGGCGGTGGGAGCGGGCGGACGGGCGGCGGAATCTGCTGTGTGGCCTTGCTTGCACGGGGTTCTGTAGGGTAAAAACTTTTGCTGGCAGAAATCTGAAGGCAGGAGGGGTTAGCACACCGAAAGGCTGTGGTAAATAGGCACCGTTCTGAAGATCTGCTCACTTATCCAAAGCTTTCGAGAAACCAGTTTTGAGTTGCAGTTTCATTGGATTTTGGTAATTTTTTAACTGCTGAAGACTGACTGCCCTTTGTTTAAACATAGGATGGAATATTTATTGCATGCAACTGGCAGTGGAGTTTGCTGGGTTCTCAATAGAGAGTTTGTATAGGAAACTGTTAAATAAATGCTGCCTGCTTGCCTCCATAGTACGGTGGCAGAGCTGGTGACAGCGGCTTCAGAGCTTGCTGGATCAAAGTAAGCGTTGAGGGGGCGTGGGGGCTGTTGTTGTTTGTGTTGTTTGCTTAAACAAATTCTCTTACCTGGAAGAGCTGGTGTTGATCCTAGTGAAGGAATGAGAACCTGCGGCATCCGTACCAAAAGGCTGCCTGCCAGGGCGTGCGGGTGGGGCGGGGGGCTGGGGAAGGGAGGCCTGTCAGCAGGGCGGGTGCCTGGGACCACGGGGAGCACGGGGCAGACCCCCGGCGAGCTCCATTCGCCGGAGCAGCTGAAAGCAGAGTCCTTGGCTGTCTGCCTGTGTTCGCAGCGGCCTGTTGGGAGACGGCAATGGAGGAGATGCTGCGCTCTGAGCAGGAGGAGCAGCTGTAATGGTAGTCATTAGCCGATTTCCCAGCCCTGGCCCAGTACGGCTCCTGTGCGGTACATGGGCGTGTGCTGTCTGAGGGGCTTTTTAACAAAAGAGTTGTCAGAAGAACAGCTATTTCAAACTACTGAAATAGAGCATAAGGCCATCTATGTAACTCAGTCGTGGTGAGTGTTGAGTTCATTTCTCCGGATTACTTTCAGAAGTTTGTGCAGCATTGTTGTACAAACAACTTAGAAACAGCTGCACAACTTTGGGGGAATTTGTGTGGGTTTTTTTACATATATGCAATGATATTTCTAGCGTGATTCACAAGGAGGGAAACTTTAGTTTTAGGTTGATGCAGTAAGGACTTATTAACCCGTGGTTAAAGATGTTAGTGTCAGATAGCCACGTTCTCTCTTCAGTTTTAAAAACCTACTTCCCCGCCCCGAAGTACTGATAAAATGCCTGCTAAAAAGGCCCAGTAGAGCATGCAGTCCTAAGGGCATGATTTCCTTATTTTAAAAACAAAAATAAATGTATTCCAAAGCTTTCTGGGAAACTGCACTTTTGAAGTAAACTGGTGCAGGCGATGATCGCTGAGACTTTCAGTCAATGGTTTGTATACCTTGTGCTGCTCTAATTCAGTCCTCCCCAGTGACGATGTACTGGTTTCACTCTGGTAGGTACGTACCTGGTCTCCAAGACGAAGTCTCAGAAGAGGCTTGGGTTGCCTGGTGCCTCAGGCTGGCTTCGACCTGGGCAGGGGGTGCCTTGCTGTGCCGGGAAGGGGCCCAGAGCCCACCTAGCAGCTGGGTGGGCTGCGCTTGCTGTCGGACACTCGCTGCTGGGCTGCCGCTCTCAGTTAGTTTGTTCAAAGTTAATGAACTTTTGAAGAGTTTAGATGAACTGGGCTAAGTAAGGATTTGTGCTTCGGCCCGTTCTGACTGAGCTTGGTGGAACGTGGAGAGGATTCACTTCTGGTTGTTTTTTTGAAAGCTGGTATCTCTGCAGGCACGTAAGCCGGCTTGTTGGAAGATGCTAATTTGTGCTTTTTAAACTCCATTGGATTTTAGAGCATATTGTGTTCCCAGAACAGGCACTTGCAAGGGTTTTATGCTCTTATTTGAAGTGGCTCCTTTGCTGATGCGTAAGGTGTGTGAAACTACCTCAAGACTGCCACCAGTTTGCAGTCTGGAAGAGGAGGTGTTATTCTAGTGACTTGAGGAAACCTAATGGCAGAAGTGCGTGGTACACAGAGTTCTGGGACGGTGTGCATGTATTCACCAACGCCATATGCTTCATGTGGCTGGAGGCGGTATGCGAACTGGTGTGGATCGTCTTAGTTCTGTTATTTTGCAGGAGAGCAAGTGTGGTGACAGCAGCGCAAGTTTTCCAGCTGCACGTTTTAATTCTTGTGCAGTACTGAATTTCACGTTGCGTTATGACTTCAGGAGTATCCATAGGCATTTTCAGGTATGTAGAAGTGATATTACAAAAAGTTGTCTTAACAGGCTGAAGGTGGTAGGGTTTAGCTGATGGTTAGTTTTTGCTTTTTAATTTGTGGGCGGGCTAATAAGCCCACAGGATAGGGTCTGCTTCTGAGGCACCTGTCTCTTGCTAGGGGGCTTTTGCCGGTAGCCTTTCCCTTTTACTCCTCCCTGTCATGGTAGAAAGATGAAGTTGGTCTGTTTTGAAACTGAAGTATGAAGTAAATGGAAAATGTGATACTCTACGTACATAGCAAGGGAGGTTGTTACGGTGGGAATCTTCATGCTGCTCTTCAGACAGATTGGTGGGAAGCTGCAGGTCTTGCCCTTCTGTACAATTATCACTTGCATGTAGTGCATACATACAGCATCTGTACGGCAGGAGTTCATGTACAATAGTTGGGTGTGGAATTTCCCCACGCACTGAGCGTGCTGCAAGCAAAATGCACAGGGAGGGAAGTTAAGATCTTGAAAATGAAGACTTCTTGTTTGGCTTCTCGAACAGGTTTGGTGTATTTTTTTTTTTAAGAAGAGAGAACAATTATGCTAGGTGGAGGAACTAGTAGGAGAAAAAAGATGAAATGTGTACAGTCGTATAGTAACATACAGTATTTAATGTTTAAAGCCAAAGAAATAACTCTTCAGCTGCAAGTAGCTTGCTGCAAATCTTGTCGGGAGAGCTGCACTCTGCGCAAAGCAAAGCTTTACAGCCCAGTCTGGCGTGTCTGGTACAAGACGGGCAGCAGCCGCGGAGGGAGGGCTGCGAGGGCCCCGGGTCAGCAGACGTGCGGTGAGGCACCGTGCCATGCCGGGGCCGTGCCAGACCAGGGCGAGGGCTGACCCCCAGCCAGGCTTCGGTGAGGCTGCCGGGCCCCCCGGGATGGCAGCCGCTGTGCGAGTCCGCTGGCGTTCCGGTGCTGGCACCGGGCTACGCACGTCGCCTGCTCCTGCTTTAAGCCGTAACGGCGCTGAATCTGTTGTGCGGAGACTGCTGGGTGGATCTGGGACCTGGACAGAGACGCCTTCAATAACCGGAGGGCTTGGAGCACTGACGAGTGTCCTTCTAACTTGATATATGTTGTTTCTAATGCGATGCGAGCTGCCGCGGTCCTGGGAAGATGGGTTAGGTTGTGACTGCTTAAGATTCAGGTCAGTTCCATGGGAATTTTTCATTCAGTATCCAAACACTGGGTCTTTTAAGAATTTGCCTGACCCACATAGAGCTAGTTTTAAACCCTCTGTAGCTAGACGACGAAGTTCTGCGCTTCTTTCAAGCCACTTAACCTTGTCCACAGTGCTGCTGCTTCTCACTGAAGGACCTGCTTCCTGCGGCGCATCGCCTCTCCGCCATTCCTGGGTAGGACAGGCTTTGCTGGGGTACCGTGAATACAGGGGTCGTAATTCCTGGCTGGAAGGCGAGATGGAGTGCCGTCAGGCGAATGTGATTGTAGCAATAGTCCGGTGGGACGGGAGGGCAGCTAAAGGTGATCTTGTTCCACAGATCGGCTGTTCTGTTGCAGTAGGAATTTGGTGGCCGTCTGGCTGACGACAGGGTGTGCTTGTTCTGCTTTTGCCACAGTGTTGTAAGTGCTTGTCACGTATACGGGCACTTGAAGTTTAAACGGGGTGTGTGTGTACGTATCTACTTGTGTGTCTACATACTCTTTTTGTCCTTCAGCTTTCACAGCAAATACCAGAGCACTCTGGCTTGACTCTGTCTAGACTTTGTTTAGAAATTATTAGTATTGCAGTGAAAATCACTAATATATTGCTACCATAAGTTTCAACTTGTCACAACACTGTCATTAGTTTCTACAAGTGGTCTGTTCTGTGTAGCCTAGATTCTAACGTGGTGAAACTGCATATTAATTTTTAATCTTCTTTTCTTACAGTAAAAAATGGCATTTCAGAAGGCAGTGAAAGGAACTGCTCTCATTGGAGGAGGTGCCATAGCAACAGTTTTTGGCCTCTCTCAATTTTCTCAGTATAGAAACAAACACGTAAGTATTAATTATGATTTCTGATAAAATATGAAACTTAAAATCTGTTGGAGCGTATGTTACGCTTATATGAATAGTTTTGTTTGGAGAGCAATGCCAAGAGCCTCTCAGCTTGATTTGGTAGGTGCTAATCTGGAGGATGGCATTAAACGATGTTTCACTGTTGTAGGTCTTTAACCAGTGGGGAAATGTGATTCTTGTAAATCAATTTTCCTGTTTAAAAAGTGACCTTTGTGTACTACTCGGGATTTTGCTTAGTTGCAGGAGGAGTGGAAGGTACTGATTGAAGTGGAAGCAGTGAGTAGAGTTTGGACAGTACTTTCAGACTTAGAAGCTTGAAGTGAAACCACTAGCACTACCTCTGAAAATCTCGGCTTCGAAACAGTCGTGGTGGCAGCTCTCGTTCAGTTCAAAAGGCTGGAAACTGAGGATCGGATCTGTGCCAAAGAGGTGAATGGCGAGGCTCCTGTCGCTGCTGGTGGGCATTGCCCTCTGTCTGGGTGGGCACAGCCTAGGCGCTGGTGAGCTCGAGGCGCGGTGCGGTGCTGTCTTCCGGGCGACTGAGGCACACAGGCAGACTAAATTCCCCCAGCACTGAAGGCTGGTGTTGGAGACTTACTGTTAAAGTGAGGTAGCGGCAGCAGAAAGAGGTGCAGTAGGTTCCAGCGTCAGTTTGTGTATTGAGCATGGTGCTGTAGAAGATAGGTTTCATTGGCATATCCGCTCTTCACAGTAGGGTCGGAGTTGCCATGCTCTTTAACGCGCTTCCGGATGCAGAAGCCAAGGAGAAATCAGTGAAAGGAACATGAGCTGTGGACTGGTTTTAGGCAGAGCTGGTGTGGGTCAACAGCTGCTCTTTGCCTCGCAGCCAATGAATGCCCATTGTTTTAATGCAGTTGTGCTGTGCTGGAGAGTTTTACAGAATAACCGTGTCTGGGCTCAGCAGATGCGTGTATGGGAACATCTCTTCTGATCCTGTGTTAAACATGGGCTGTGAGGCTGGCACCTCACATTGGGCCCAAAGTGTTTGCAGTCAGTGTCCCATAAAATGGCTGAAGTAGATGTAGTTGGAGCTCTGGTCTGATCTGCTTCAGCCTGGGTTTGGAAAAAGCTTAAGCCGAAGGCAGTACCTCCTCCTCCCTGTGAGAGGGTGTCAGTCTGAGCAGCTAGGTGAGCGGGGGCTCATTTGCGTGGTGTTTTCTGCTTCGCACCTTAGCAATGTAATCAGTCAGCTCTTCATGTAGACAAGCTGTTACTCGGTGAAGTGCTTTGGTTACCACACATTTACTGTAAGTTGCCGTTCAGATTGGGCAAACTGAAAATAGGAACAGAAGCGGATCTGAATGGTCTGGCTGAAGGTAAAACGGTGGGTGATGGGAGACGGTCCTCACTGAGCTCCGTGAAGGTGTGTATTACACCTGGATAAAGGACAATCGGACTCTTCTGGCTGTCTCTCTGGGGAGGAGGAGTAGCAGCCGAGTTATTGGTAAAACATATGGAATGAGTCATTTCTGGGGAACCTAGCTGGAAAGTGAATAAGCCAGGATCCTTATGGCTTCAGATACTGTTGCAGAAAATAAAACCTAGCGTTTAAAGGGAGCTTCCCATTGGGCTGCCCGTCCGTCATGCACCTAGCTGGTAATACTGTTTCTAACTCTCTCTGGAGTCTTCATCGCAGGGTTTTATGATCTGGCTTCATTACTGCCAGAAGGGGCAGCTTCAGACTTTAAGACTGTTAAATACGAGAAGGAGTTGGAAGGGAAGGTGATCTGGATAGCTCTGTTGTTGTATGTGCAGTATTCCAGAATTCAGGGAATTCCCATTTTTCTGGGAATGGACGGCTGTTACGAATTTCCAGAGACAGATTCAAAACCGAAGTTTTACAGAAGGTAGTTGTGGTGTCAAAATGAAATAACCGCTTGTCCCCCAATTTCTAAACCTGTTGTGTAGGATCAGTCTACAAAGGATGTGAAAATTTCCAGCATATGTGTAAGCAAATGGATCTGTCAAGTGAACAGCACGTTGTTTTCATGTTGTACTAACTTGCACATTTCCCACGTGATATGCCTTAAAGCTGCTGCCTTAAACACCTAATGCAGGGCAGCAGGTGGAACGTAACTGGGGGGATTGACACAAAGGAGGACAGTCCATTTGTCGTGTTGACATATCTAAGCTGTGGGCATGTCCCCCAGCCCAAGTGTCCTCTTTTTAATAATGCCTGCCAATCAAATATGTGTTAGGGCAAAGATCTTGTCTTCCTTTGCCAGAGAAGGATATTGCCCCAAGATGTGCACTAATTGGCTACACATTGTAGGAAGTCTGTTGTTATTTCAAGAACAGAATCCATCGCATAACAAGACGGAAATGAAATGCTCAGTTTTGTCACCCATGTTCGTGTTGCTTCAGTCAGTGTCTGCGTGTCTGTGCTGTGGCTAGCCTGCTGGAGTTAGGGGCACCCAGTTACAGAGTGAAGACCTCGGCTGGCTAATTATCCTGCACACACAGTCTAGTTGATCTGTCTGTCTTTCTTTTCCATGTTCACTCAGCTAGTGTTAGATATTTCGGTGAAACTTGGCTGTCCTGGGTAATTCCAAGGGCGAAGCTGAAAGGTGCTGAACTTCTGGTCCTTGAGCATGGGCGGGAGGTCATATGGATGCGATGATCTTAAAGGTCCTTTCCAACCTAAATGATTCTATGATTTGTTAGTCGAGCATACTAGTGGGTGGTCTGTCTGCTAAAAGGGATGAGTATTGGCAGTTTCCAATGATGCAGTTTAAATTGTGCTCGCTGGGTTGGAGAGGCTTGGCCTGCCTGACTGTGAGGAGAGTGGCACAGTTACCCTGGTTAGCCTTGTCTGCATGTAAACGGCTGCAGAGTGTTTACACCTCAGAAACAAAACACTCCGTTGATTCAGAGCTGTGCTGGTTTTCAGGATATTCATCCCAACTTATTTTTCTGTACACAGCCGCGCGTGCTGACGTTTTGGAGCACATTTCTGCAGCAGCGACTGAGGCACTGTTACCTGAGCATGTGCGTCTGTGTATGGCGCGTGCAGGCATACAAGCGGTTTGGTAAATTGCCCGTGTTGTGTGTTGGGTTTTCTGACAACACAGGGCTCCTGCTGAGCAAAGGGAGGCTGGGAATGTGTGTTGACAGGACAGAACTGTTGTTGAATTTAACTCATAAGCTGATGGATGAATATTGCACTACTGTGTCTTGTTTAGTAACCTGATCACTGGCATATTTACTGCATTGATAAACTGGTTTAGCTTAATGCTATGTGTGAGGGAATAAGTAGACATGACACTAATTCAAGCAAGACCTCTGTCAGCAAACACACAGGAGTGATTCTTTCACACTGAATAACCATTACCCTGAAGGAAGCTGGTCAAGCTTTCTGTGCAGCCTCACTGACTTCGGCTGTTGAGGGCAAATGCAAAAGTCTGACAAGGAGGCTTTTGGCTAGATTAAAAAGAAAAACCCTTTTCCAGAGAGAAGGAGACAGTTGGGGATCTCTTCACAGCAGGTAGTGCGGAGGTCTGAAGAAACTAGTTCCTCCTGAATTGTTTTCAGATAAAGCAAAAGTGTGCGTAGACTCATTTATTTCAATGCTACCACTGTAAATGAATTTCATCTTAAACAATACAGAATCTCTCAAAACGCATGTGCACTACATTGACTACCAGTCACCAGCTCCTGAAAAGAAGAATCGCATCCGAGATAGAAGTCGGACCCGTATGAGACATAATATACACAGGCTATGTACGTAACTGATTCATTTGGCCTCAAATGTTCAGATACCTGAATGGCAAAGGTGATACAGCCAGCCTTTGCTAGCTGTGTCACCAGTGTTCCTGGCACTGATGGTGACAGAGAAATGGAAATACCAATTTCTCTTGCTTCTTGCAGATTCTGACCAAATTGCTGCACTCTTGCTCTTTGTGCCTTTATTTTAATGCATCAAGCCAAGGGCTAGGGCTGGACATTCTTTGACGTGCCGAGTTTGAATGGGAGACCACGGATCGTTTGGGGTTTCCCCCTCCTGTAATCAGTAAGGAAAAAAGCACTGCTTTGTTTCAGAGTTGTAAGAGATCGCTGTCTGGTCCTAACTAAGGCCACCAGGCAACCCTTCTCTCTTTTTGGTGTAAGGACATTGCTGGTCAGTAGGAATTGCTCATCGAGGTGGATCCAATAGAGTGTGATAACATGATAATGCATCAGGGCCTGCTTTGGGGTTTTTTAATTACTTCCTTTTTTTTTTTTTTTAATGAATAAGGATGATGAATTTGACTCTACAAACCGACCTGGAGATATACCTTAGCAAATTAACAAGGAAGCTTGCTTATGGATTACTAGATTACTTTATAACTTCATGACTCAATTCAAACTGCCAAACTAAATTTCTTCTTGCTAAGAGTGTAATCAGAACCATTCAAGGAACTCTTGCCTGAGAAATTGTAGATATAAACAGCAATTGCTTATTTCAGTAAACATACTTGTTCACTGCCAAACTAATCACGTTACTGCAGATGGAATCCCTGTATGCAGCTTTTCTTCACTCTCGCATTTAATTGACAGCAAGATGAATCATATCTATATCAATTCCTGGTGCACTAATCGCTCTGCCTGTGTTTCGGTGCTAATCTCCCTGCTCTTGCTGTACTGGTGGCTGTCTGCTTGGGACTCCGGTCTGGGTTTCACTGTAAGCCTTTGTAGTAAGTAATGTGTTTAAAAACAAAAATACAGTCAAAACCAAAGGACACTAGTACTGCTTGAACTCTGAATTTTGTTTTTCGTGTATTCTCTTATTTTCCTGAAGTTGAGTTACACACTTTGAAAATTGTCCTGTGTTTTGCTGAAGAAGGCGTGTCTGGAGATGGAGTGGAAAACTGACCTTGAGATGGGGGTTTTTCCCTCTTTTAAAGTTGAAGAAAGTTGCGCATATGTAGCTGAACTTCATCAACCAAAACACATGCAAGGCTAAGCCAGGGATGTTTTCGGTCTTCACGGTTCCCTGCTTGGCACTGCTGTCTCCCATCACAGGGTGGTATTCCGGTAAGCCAGGAGACTGGCGTCAGCTGCCTGCCTGTCCTCTGTGATGATACAGCCCGGAAGGGCGTGCTCAGCGCAGCAGCGGACCCAGGCAAAGCAACAGCCGTGTGGGAAGCCCGGCGGGGACACTGGAAGGAAGGAGTGGAGACGGGAATGGCCGGATCCTCTCACTGTCTCCCTCCTAGTGTCCCTCGCTGCCTAGAAAAACACATTCTGGAACTGCATCGGTGCACCACACTTTAGGGATATAAACCTTTCTGCCATCCCTTGGGGGATGCAGAAGTTGTTAGCGTTGCTGGAGACGAGTAGGCTGGGCAGAGAGCAGCGCAGAAGGCAGAAGCGGGAAGGTGCAGAATTCACTGCTTAGAAAAAGAACATGGAAGATGAATTTCTCTGAAGTGCCAAAACTTTGTAGCTCTCCTGGTGATCTTTGCCAGCAGCCACATGTTAGTGTGGAAACAGGAGAGAGTGCAGGGAGGCTCTAATTGATGGGGAGGCTCGTCAGCGGTTGCCTGCCTGCTTCCCTTGAGTCAGCCCCTCTGCTCTCTGTGCGTGTCTCCTAACTCCCTGAGCCCCTGGGGCTGGCAGCGCGCAGACCTCTGTTGGAGGGGTGCGGCTGCTGGCGAGCCCCTGCCCAGGCCCTGGCTGGGCCGGGCTCTGAGGAAGCCGCCAGCACTGTGGTTGGCACAAACCAGTGGTAATGCTGTAGCCTGAGCCATGGTTTGCCAAATTTTGGTTGGTTTAAATCTGAATTTTCTCTTTCGTTCTGAGAAGATGTAAGTCCTTAGTACGAGGTGGCGCACTCTTTCTGCAGTCCAACTTTGCGTAGTGATGGAATTGTAACACACATGCGGTGAGGATGGGTGCTGCTCTCCTAAGAAATTGGCGTGAGTTAATTGCATTAGAGTCAGTATGATGCATGATTACAGGATGAACTTGATCGTTAATTATCTTTTGAATAGGCACTTCTTTTAGACATGACTCCTAGTTGTTAGATTTTAATTTCAGTTGTATAGTAGTGATAGGAATATTGAGAAATAATGCATTTCAATCAGTACTGCTGAAGAATGAGCCGATAATTTTGAACAAAAATACTTAGGATGTATGCACCATATAATCTGCGTTCAGGCTTCTTGTGTGTGGCTGGACTGGCTGTTCATTTCCAGCGGACATATTGCAAGAACGGCGTTTACCGTCGGCTCCCGGGGTGTGCCTGCAGGGCTCTGTGACGACGGGCGAGTTGCTCACTGAAGAGGAGCGGCACGGTTCAGCTAGCGACGCACAGAGACCCCTCCGCCGCGCCTCGGCACAGATGGCGGCGCGCGCTGCCGTTACCTTTTGTCAGCCAAGCGGTTTTAGTATGGCAGGTGTGTATTCCCCCTCCAGTGCAAGTGCCAGGGAAAGTGGCTGCAGTTCCTAAAGCCTGGAGGTGGCTTATGTTGGCAAAGAGCTTTTCATAACCGCAGCGATACAGGAGCGTGTATCTGGGATACTCAGCGTGTGGGCTGAGTAACGACAGAACACCAGCGCAGGGTAAACGGTTCTTGGGATGGGTGACGGTGTGTTTGCAGCGTGGGACTGGGCTCAGGAGCTGTTTCTGTGGCTGTTGTGATTCACGGTGAACAGTGCAATAAGCAATGAAGTTATAGAAGGAGCTGAACAACCTGCCTGGTTCAGTTTATTCAGGGAATGTTTGGAAGCAAAAGCTTAAATGAGAGAGCTTCCCTGCACATTGTAAGCGGTGGATGGAAAGAGGTTAGAGAATGGTTTCAGATGACAGTAAGGAAGTAGTATTTTGTGCCTTGTCACTTGGATTTGTATTAGTTTACTCTTTCCTGTCTAGGTGATCTGGACACAAGCTATTTTACATCAGGGAAGTCTGCCAGTTGGCCTAAGGCTGGATCATGCTCCGACCTTAGACTGTAGGGTTTAAACAGCCTTTTCTTGTGTTAAAAGTGTTTATAATTTTCAGCAAACTCTGAAAATGTTAATTCTTAATTTACTGTTTGGTTATTTCAATCCATTCTGAATCGGTCAATTAGTTCTTCTGTCCTGGTCTGGGTAATGTAGGCATTTGTTTGTTTTGATGTGTATATTTCAGTGGTGGTTAGAACAGTTCCTTTGGAAGTGCTAGGTACTAATAAAAGCACTCCTCTCAATCAAACAAAACTCAGAGCACCAAAATTTGGTTATTTCTGAGAGAGCTGGCTGAAGGGGTGTTCTCAAGGTCGGGGGGGTCTGCTGCCGAGCCCTGCTGCGCGGGGGCCGCTACCTTGACTGCCCTTCTGGTGTTGTAAATGCAGGTGCTTGGTCTGTCAGGCACACCAACGTGCAAGTGATCCCTCTTGTGCAACAGGTGGGTCCTTTGGGTCTGCGAAACAGAGGCGAGAGAAATTCACTGTCTGGTTTTATGCAGAGTGAGGGACAAAGGCGAATGAGGAAAATTTGGAAGGAGGAGAGCTGGAACAAAAAGCAAAGCTAGAGCAGAAAGCAAAGAGAGAGCAAGCGTGCCGTTAGTGTTCTTGCACCCTGTTTAGCTGTCTGAGTAACTATGACATCTGCCTACAGCTTGTTGTATATAAAATTAGTGTGAAGAATATGAACCCACAGTGATGGTGCTCGTAACATCGATTATGAAGTATATGACCAGTAATAGGGTTTGGGGATTCCTGTCACTGTAAAGGTTTTCAGAATTCATTTTAAATTAATATTAACAGAAGAGAGCTTTCAGAAACTGGTTAAAACCTTAAATTTTAAACCATGGTCCGTGCTAGTTGCCTGAACACGCGTGTCAGCCTGTCTCACTGCGGTCACTAAATGGAGAGCAGCACTGGCTCGTGGGGTGGCAGGCAGAGCACTAGAGAGATCTCAAAGCCATTCCAGTAAAATCTGAACTTCTCTGGAAACTGCCACATCATTACATTTTGTCACTTTAAAGAAAAGTTGTGTTTTAGCATGCGGTAGGATATAGATTGGTTTGCTTAGAAGATTTGCAAAAGAATATAGAAATAGTGTTTCTTTGGTGTTTTAGGATGCTGTGTTTGACAGTAGAGCACATCGTCTTCTGAACCTGATCAAATTTGAGCTCAAATTAATGCCAATGTACAAGTAAATTTAAAATATATAATGTACCTTCATCTTTCAGTCCTTTGCTTTGATGGATTTTTTTGGTAGAGAGATGAGAGCCTAACCATGCGTCTGTTTATTAAAATACTTCCTGAGCATCCTGTAAGATTTGACATAGCAGAACACTATTCCTAGAAATAATTAATGTAGGTAGTAGCACTTGAGTACAGTATTGTAGTTAGGTAGGCAAGGTGAAGTACGTGTACTAACCCTTTACAGTTTTAGGACTGTTTGTTGCTCCATAATGTTTTAATACAATATGATTATTAGATATATGTAAAGTGATGGGGAGTATTTGTTTACCTTTGTGGCCCTAGAAAATGCTGTTGTTTGGTTGGTTTGTGTATGTGTACACATACGTGTGGATACACAATAAAGACCGATCCTCCTGTTTTGTTTTTAATCTTTGTAGGGCACTTTTGTGCATGTTCAAGCAGCAGAAGCTGTGCCTGTTCCAATAAAGAACCATTTCCCCACAAGGGAACAACAAATTTTGGCACTGCAAACCACAAGTGAATTTGACGTCCTTGTTATAGGCGGAGGAGCAACAGGATGCGGCTGTGCTCTAGATGCAGTCACTAGAGGTAAGGATTGAAAATTTAATTGCATTCTTATTCTTGGATTACATGGTTTATAATGAATTTATCAGATTGGCTCTTTGAAAGTACTTGAAAATAGAGCAGGTGTACTCTGAATGCCTGGTTATAAAACAACTTCTGTTCTCAGAAGCTAAAATGAACTTGAAGAAAAAATGTCATTGTGTTTTGTTGTTTCAGCAGAATCTTTATCGTCCAGATGCTTGTGTGCAGTTGTCTAGCAGACACCTTTTTGGTGGATGCTCTTGGATGGACTTCTCAGTCTCTGTTGCCCCTTATTTAGTGGGTTTATCTATAGTTTATCTATAGTCACATTTCATTTGTTTGTGCAGGACAGTATCTGTAGCAAAGGGAAGGCTTGCACAGCACTGTTAGCAGCTATTTTGAAAGGGCCGGGCGTGAATTCTAGATGAGACACAGGGGCTCTGCAGCTCGTATTTCTTAGAACATGAGATATCTACAACTTCTGCTGATGCGTTGTAGCCGCTTAGTGTATCGCGGGTTTTGAGAAGTCGGGTTGGATTTCCCATGGAAGGTACTAGCACGTGCACACAGCGATCTGTGCTCCGATTTCCCCGCTATGGGGGCTTAGCTGTGTGATGGGTCTAAGAAGCTACTGGAAGCAGCAGAATTGGGGTTAACTTTATGCGTAGCCTTAACTTAGGGAAAGCTCAGGGTAAAATGAGTTTAAACTGATGCTTTTTACCTGGCTTCTGCAGGAGGATGAGAGTGTGTGTGGTGACAGTCGGCTGTGCCCAGCAGACGTGCAGATACTGCCCCATAGCTTGTGCCATTGATCCAGTACATAAAAAATTCTGTTAGGGGGGTGAAAAAGCAGGATGCTGATGCCCACTCTGCCTGCGTCATCCACCTTGCACAGTAACTTTGAAATTGGCCGGCAGGTTCTAACCAAATTTGACAGTTCTCAAAGAGAAGAAATCCTCTTACGAAAAGAGATCTTCAGATACAGGGATGAGAAGGCACGGGTACTGTTTCTGCGGGAGAGGCTGTAGCATCAAGTCCTGTCCTATTAAAATGCTATGTTTCCCCAGAATATCATATTTTTATCCAAAGAGCTGTGTAAAATATTTGTGAGAAAAGCTTTTCTTGGAAAGTGTTCTCTCAGTTGTTACTTTCAATATGATCAGCTGATGAGCAAGAGAACCAGCCCTCCTTAGTTTCTGTGTTTGTAGACTTTGTTTCTGCTTTTGGAACTAAAAGGAGGAGAAAAAAAAGTGTAAAACATAGTAGGGAGCCATAAAGTTTTTCAGGTTCTTTAACCCGTAGAAATACCTCAGCAATAAGAGGCAAAACTTGACTGCAGGAGTGCTTTGTAGCTTGATTTGGAAAATACTTGTCCAGAAGGTGTGATAATTTTGAAATAGATAAGGCAGTACGGTCTGCACCATTGGTAGATACATACAACCTCAAATCTGGTTATCAATTTTTTTCATGTATTATTAAAGATAACTTGGGATCTTTTCACTTCTGCCTCTGCTATATCGTGGTAGAAAATGCAGTTGTAAAGCATACAGAAATGACGAAAGGTAATCTAGGTTTATCCTTTTACTAGATATTCTGATTATATCAGTAGATTTCTGAAGTGTGAAATATTCCTGGGCATTTGGTTAATGAATTGTGTGTTGTTGCTGTTCATTCGTGGAACTCACTCTTTTATTATGTTTGCTTCACTTAACAACAAATTTTGCTTTTCATGTGTTTGATATATCTTCGCCAAATTATTTCTGATTGTATTCATTAATCTTCAGTCACATTTGACAAAAATAAATTACTCTGATCTTTGGAAGTTACCAGTAATAATTAGATTTTTTTTAAGGATATAGAAGTTTTGGGAGACCAATAGTTGTTAAAATGTATTTTCACCAGCCAGTAACTTAAAGCACCCCTCAAAGAGGGCGAAGGAAAGACCCAAGAGATAGCTTCTGATGCAGGGGATGCTCTTCTCCTTGGGTGTGCGTCGTCACGTTGTTGCCGTTGGTTTTGGCAGCAATGTCACTGCATGTAATTCTCTTTTTGCCTTGCCTGCCTACCTGTGAAATTCTGCCAGTGATGGAGGGGGTCTGTTGTGCTGACTTCCGTAACACAGGTGGTCCTTCTGCGTAGGTTTTGGAAGTGAAAGATTGCTTTGTGGTTGTCCTGTGGTGCGTGTCTGGGTTGGCTGGGAACGCCACTGGTGCAGCAGACGTGCCAGCCTGCTGCCGAGGGTGGGGTAGGACCACCGTTGTAAGGTCCCTTGTAAAGGCCCGTGTGCTCTGGCTGTGTGTGGCCGTCGGCCGTGTGCTTGTCCCTTCCTTGCGCTGGTCGCACTGCCAGCGCCTGCCGGTGTCGGGCACACCTGGATGCGCTCCTGAGTGAAGGTTTTTCTGAAATGCTTTGTAGTACCTTGTAACTAATGTTTTGTGTGTGCGCCCTTTTGCCTATGTAATGTGTAAAAGGAGGGTGTCTGTGTGCTGTATGAGCAGTATGTGCATAGTAAACTGTGGATGAACTTAATTTTTCACTGTGCTACACTTCTGAGGTAGGTAAGCTGCAATATTTTGTATTAAGCCTCAATTATAAAACGATTTTCTGTGTATGGCAGAGTTCTCTGTATGTGCGCGTCGTGTTCTGCAGTGAGCTCTCCCTGAGCGGTGAGCTTGCCCCTGGCTGGCTCTCTTCCACCTTTGAGCCCCTCTGAAGCAGACACGAAGCAAGCATGCAGAGATGGCAGTTGTCGGCCTCTCTGGTACGCTGTGTAACGTGTGAGCGTGACAGGTTTGGAGCTCTCTGCTGCAAAGAGTTAAAAGTATTCATGAAAATATTCTGTTCCTGCCACGAACACGAACTATAATTTGCTTGAGGGAGTGTGGCCCCTGTAATGTACTGTAATGCCTTTCGATTGTGAAATATCCAGGTTTTAATGTGCTTCTGTTTAAGTTCTGTTTTGACTTTTCCCTTAGGAAGGAGGCTAAAATTTTTCATTACAATATAGACAGCGCACTACACTTTGAATACAAATTTATCCATGTACAGAGTAATTTTTCTTGTGATTGTCTCTACCCTAGAGAAGTGTCTTTAATGAATTACATACAAATTGTGTAATTTAAGAAGTTAATTTGGTTTTCTGATAACACAGGACTAAAAACAGCCCTTCTAGAAAGAGATGATTTCTCATCAGGGACCAGCAGCAGGAGTACTAAATTGATCCACGGTGGAGTAAGATACCTGCAGAAGGCCATCATGAAGTTGGATCTTGAGCAGGTAATTGTTTATGCTGGTTGTTAGGCAAAAATTGCTAGTAGACACTTCCGCTGTCCCAATTATATCCCAGTCTCCTTTTTATTTTTTCAGTACTTGGCTGTTGTATTCCACAGCCACTGTGCATGTAAAGTGTCTTCTCCAGTTCAGCTTTCCTGACGAGGGCAACTGGTACTGCTGCCTGTTGCTCAGTGCTTTTATGGGCAATCTGATTGCCCTGCCTTGTAGATGGTGTGTAGCTGGGGGAAGGCAGGCAGAGGCAGGGCTGAGCAGAAGAAGAAGAGCTTCCTACCTGTCCAGATCAGAATCTCGGGGAGTGAGTGGCTGTCCTGTTTACATGGGAATGGGGAAAGAAAATAGGGTAAGTGGGTGATATTGTACACAAACGCTTGTCTGTATTCTTGTGTTGGTGGAAGCGTGATGTTCTTGTTTGGAGAAATTGATTTGTCTTCTCTTTGAAACCCCTCTAACTTAAGGTAGGTTTCAATGGTTATAATGCCGCTACAGAAGTGGTGGCTTCTCAGGGAAAAATAAAAAAACCATGCAGTTATCCAGCTATAGAAATCAGCCTTCTTTTTTGCCAAAGAACAACTTCGTATTGATTCGTATTGATTGATTTGGAGAAGAATGCCTCTGCGTTCGCAACTCGGAGTTAGTATGGGATGTAATTGTGGGAGTCGGCGCAGAAGCTGTGCTGTGGGAGGAGTTCTAACCCTCCGTAAGTGCCTCCTGCCCACAGTTAGGAGTGGCATGGCTTACTGCGCTTCACGTTCAAATGAAAAGTTACTCAGCTGACCTGCCAAGACACCAAAATGAAACTAGGGAAACTGAATTTTCTTGGGAAATGTTTTTGTTTTAAATTTTTAGCAAATGGCAGTGTGTTTTTGAAAGAACAGTAAAAAAATGCAAGGTGTTTGCTTGGATAAACAGTTTCTTGTTAAATGTTGCACGTGGAGGCAAAATTGAGCAACTTGGGATTCACATGTGTGCTTGTATTTTCCAGTACAAGATGGTGAAAGAAGCACTTGAGGAGCGTGCAAATCTGCTGGAGATTGCTCCTCACCTGTCGGCGCCGCTGCCGATAATGCTGCCTGTTTACAAGTAAGCTCTGCTGTAATGTCTCTTCTCTACCAGTGCTTTGACAAGCAAGCTGTTTCCCGGAGAAGTTCCCAGGTGCCTCTTCCCAAGGATGTCGTTAAACCTGTCACAAGCTTTGTCCTCCCGGAGGTGAGAAGTTGCCGTGCTGTAGGAGCATGAAATTCTCTCACGGTGCCAAGCAGCTATCGCTGCTGCCTGGGAGCACATCTTGGACGTCCGCTGGTCAGGGCTTTCCTGTCGCCCCGCTGGGGAGGAGGAGGGGGGCTTGCAGCAGGATTGCTGTTCTTTCCTGTACACCTTTGTCTCCAGCACCTGCTGTCACAGTGTTCTGAGCGACGTGCTGTTTAGGCCGTACAGCCTCCAGTGTGACAGGTCGGTGTTGAGAGAACAGTTTGCTTCTCATGTGAGAGAAAGACTTTAAGTGATTTGGGTTCGGTTATTAAATCTGTAAGAACAGTGACTCACTGTAACAGGCTACTTGGAGCAGTGAGGTTTTGATGAATGATCTTCATGTATGGCTTTATTCCTGCCTTAGTAGGAGGAGCTTGTCCTAGCTGGAGCTCGTCTAGGTCAGGGGTCAGCTGCATTTATGTGGTCCTGTTTGTGCTGGAGGCATTAGTCAAGATGTGCAGCTGAGGAGCCCTTTCAGCTTGCACACACAGCCTGGGTCTTCCCTCAACACGTAGCTTTAATATCTCACCTCACCCTGAAGTACAAAAAGCCAATATGTGATCCTAATTCTAGAGCGAACAAAGGCTTGAATCTGCTTGACTGACTGCAGTGAGTAGATCAGTTGAAAACAGTAGTGAACAATACATAAGTTCTTGCATGTTTACATTATATTGTGATACCATGAATTTGTATGATGGTACAAAGTAAAACTGGTGTAATTCAGCACACTGTTACCAAATGTGTTCTATGTTACAATAACAGTGTGTGCATGCATTTTTGCATTTCTTATTTCACTTCAGCAGGTTTTTTTTTTTTGCTGCAGATGGTGGCAGCTGCCGTACTACTGGTTTGGAATAAAACTGTATGACCTTGTGGCTGGAAGTCAGTGTCTGAAAAGTAGTTACGTCCTTAGCAAGTCAAGAGCCTTGGAGCTCTTCCCAATGCTACGCAAAGACGAGCTGGTGGGAGCTATTGTCTACTATGACGGTATGTTGCCTTGCTGTGCTTTCAATATTACCTTGTGCTGCGTCTTGAGGCCGGGGGGAAACACAAGTATGCACCTGTAGATCACGTACATTGATTTTGTAAGAAGAATGAAGGATTCAGCTTGTGTCTTAAGCGTTAGTTTGATAGATAAATTATGTTTCTCACAACAGCAGCTTACTGGATGTAGGAGAGAATATATTCATTTTCTTGGCCAGCAGGCATGGTGCTATGTGAAAGCATTCCAGTGTTCTGGTCGTTCCCTACAGCTTTCCCGCTGTGCCTGAGTTTGCTATGCGCTTCTCAGACTGAACGCTGCTTCTGAGGTACCAGAAGTCAGGAAAGCGTCGTTCTTCCGGTAATGTTTAATCGTTTGCAGTAGCACTTCCGCTGTGCAGATGTCTTCAAACCCATCTAGATGACCTGGCTGCTGGTTGTGGTTCTTGCACTGGGTGGGACGAGGGCTGGATCAATTACTTTTTGTATCACCAATAAAACGGGTTGCTCTGCAAAGACAGCGTTCGCTGTAATTATAATCAAGTACTAGAGACTGCTATAAGGCATAACGGTTTCTGTTAAAACCCCTTTAAATAAAGGGTTAGAAATTCATGAGAGGAAAAGTGCCTCCAGCTCGAGTTATTGAATCCGTTGTATCAGCTAGTCTTAGGTGTTTGTGTATAACACTTACACAAAATCAGTGTCTGAGTGGGAGAAAAGAAAGATGCTTTCTGCAAGTCTTTTGATGTTCATTCAAAACAGAATGATGATTTAATAGAGCTCATTGCAACCGTCTGGAAATAGCAGTTTTCCTGTTCAGAAGTGTTCGTGTGCGTTCACGTCTGGAAGGAGCGTCCCTCTTGTTTGTAATGTAAGAGTGGATAAGCCTTTGTGCCTTGTGCTGCCCAGTAAGCCTGGTGATAAGCCCCCAGGAGAGCTGTGCAGCCACAGGTGCCGCAGTGATGGGTCTGCCAAGCAAGGGGTTTCTGAACTCTGGCTCTGTCCCTGCAGGCCCTACAGATGCCCAAGGCAGTCTGAAAAAATCCGGTGAAGGTGTAGTTGGCTTACTTGGCAAATGACTACCTAGCAACTTTGCTTGTCTGGGGTATTAGCGTTGGAGTTGATGTACAGGTGTCTTGTGCCTTATCCAAGCTGCTCTATCCCACTACTTTCTAATGGCCTGCAAATTCCATCCCCAAACTGTCAGAACTTCGGTATTTAAAAAATACTGAACTACAAATTCTAAATGCTGGAAAGTTCACTGCGTAAGTTGGAGTACCAGGGTATATGGTCATGGTTGCTTTCCTGATGCGCTTGGGTCCGTTGGCACATCTGGAAGACAGAACATGTTTTTCTTTGCATCAGACATCTTTGCTGTTTCACAATGTGTCGCTAGTTAGATTGGTGTTTCCCCTTCTACAGTCCTCTTCTACTTCCTGCCAAGACAGAAAGTTTTGGTGAAATTTTCTTGATAATGGGGCCTGCTGGTAATATCAAAATGTCGAATGTGTTCAGGGCAGGGCAAAAAGCCAGAGATTCGTTGCAGGCTTGGAGGAGCTCTCCAAGGAATAAATAGCTTAAATACTGATTTACTTCAGTAGTGGTACAGACCTAGTTAGTTTTTACCTGGAGATGTAGTTTCTGACCTTTTGGCAGCTAGAAAGGTCTTCACACAAAATTGATTGTAAAGGTGGTTCTTTTCCCTTTTTAGAACTGCATTTACACTATTCATCAGCTTATCAATAGGGGCTTTTGTCCCAGGAAGAAGCAGGAGGGGCTCTCGAAGTGCGCTGGACTCGGATAGCATTTATGAGGCTCTGGCCAAAGAACGTGTTGGTAATTGCAAGTTGTCTCATACTGAGCTCAGCAGAATGGAAAAAAAAAATATACATATATGTGATACGTGCAGGAACATATATATGTAGAGGTTCTTATTTGGGAGTACAGTGAGATTTAAAGGATGGACTCGATTTTTCCCTATGTCTGATGGAGACTGCATCTTCTCTATGTTATTTTTAAGGTCTAGAGGAATTCAGAGGCTATTGTAAGGGATTATGTGGGGTTTTTTGCATACTGTAACAAGAGCTGCCGTAAATAGCACACAGAAAAGTAATTCAGATTTATTTTTTTCGTTACCATAAGCTATCCCTTAGACTGTTTTAAGGGATCCCAGGAGCATGCAAGAAGAATGAAGTGGTTCTCTTAACTGTAATTACACTTCTCATAAGAGCCCTATAACTTGAAATCTATTTATAATCTACTGAAGTTTTTTTCTGATTAAATAGATATTTTGGATGTATCAGAGCTATTTACTACTCCAGCATTCTAAAGATACACGTTAACAAGGTAGCCTTAAAATTAGTCTTCAAGTTTGTTGGACGAGTGATTGTTTTAAATGGTGTTGCCGTCAATGGAAATTCAGCACCAAGATACCAGGTGGTGTTGTAGAGGAGAACATCTGGGCAGCAGTACCGTGCGGAGCCCTGTACGTCGCGGATGGCTTGGTTGCCTTCCCAAGCCATGGGGAGAAAACGCGTGCTCTGCGTGTTGGAAACAAGGAGGTGTCAAACAGAAAAAAAGGGAACATGCAAAATATTTCGGAGCGGTTTAGAGGAGAAAGAGGTTTGCCTAGTCACTCTGTTTATTCCCCAAGGTTTCATAAAATCGGGTGGCTGGCAGAGACTCTTAGTGACGCTCCTTCAGAGGAGCAGCTGTGGTGCTAGCTGGACTCTCAAAGGCTGGTTTGGTGGGAGGTATCAAAAATAAGCTTGCAGTTTCGCTGCCAGTGAAACTGCTTGTCCATGCTGGTATATCTGGCCTTGTTTTGCTTTACCTATAGCACTGCTGCTTAGTTATACACAGTTTTTTGCAGAATTTAAAGAAATGGTGTTTTGCAGTGAAAAAAATTTTTAAAAACTCTCAAAGCTCTGCCAGACCTCAATTTCCTAGCAGAATAAAGTGGTTCTGAAGGACTACAGTATCAAATTTGTGAGTTCATAATATGCATTTGGGTGCTTTGAGGTTGCATCTAATCCGGAAGAGAAACTTTCCAACCACAAAATCAATTCTTAACATGCCACATTACAGAATTAAATTTTGTCTGTAGTGACTCCTCTGTAGGTCAACCTATGGCCCGTGGTGTGGATGGGCTCATGCTGTGTTCTAACACAGTAATTATTTTATTGTGATCAATTAACCTGTGTTCTGTCCTCAGTAAATCTGTTTGAAGTCATAATGTTTCAGCAAGCACGCTAACACTTCAGATCTTGTAAATTACTATACTTGAATTTTAATGGTATACTTTCATGCCCTAAATCCAGAGGAATGGAGGACAAAAGGGAAAGGGAGTTGAAGTTAAAGTAGAGAAGGCTATGTAAGATTGAATTAAACTCCTGTTACTTCTTTCAGAAGGATTAGTCGTAAAATAGGGCATTAAATAATGATGAATATATATATCTTAAAGTAGGTCCTGTCTTTATCTGCTCTGTCCGTCCCTTCTCAGTCTTCTTCTTTAAAGAACGAATAAATACATCAGCCTTTTAAGAAAGGCGTATCTTAACTGATTCTGTATGTGCAGTTAAATGTGGTTTTCTGCTGTTTTTTTGCTTTTCTCTCTTCCAGTCTCTGTCATGCCTTCTTTGTGTCTGTAGTTGTTAATAGCACCTACTAGCCGCGTCTCGCTGCTTGGCATGTTGATCACCGCCCCAAAGGGAAGAATTAAAAACGTTCATTGCCTAGGTTACTTTTTTGTTTGATAAAACCACCTGTCCAGTTATGACTTATTGGTGGCGATGTTCTTTTGCAAAGGAGAGATCAGGAATGCTTTCTTTTGTTTTGTAATTGTTGATCAAACTAGTGGCATGTCAAATAATCCATTATTCATGAGTATGTTGTGTTCTGAAATGTTGCTGTGGTCGTCTTAATTACATTTTTAAAATTGTTTATACAGGCAAAAAAAAAGGGTACATTATAAATGTTGGAAGTACCAGCAGCAGCAAATCGCAGACTTCACCAGAGGCGATTCTTGCTCTGCCTCAGCATCAGGAAGCTAAAGCATATGTTGGACGTTAGCCTGGGTGTACACAATGTGTCCTATTTATTCAAGGTTTGCTTTGAAGCCACAACTTACAAGTTTGTTTCTTAGGGGTACATGTCAGACTTCATTTAGCATTGGTTGGTATTAGGATACTCCTGAATAGCAAAAAGGCAACATTTTGGGGGGGAGAATGTGGCTGCTATCTGAGCAGTGATCTGTCAGTTCCACTTATGTAGCTCAAGGAAAACTGGAGAAGAGGCACTGTGGAGAAGCTGGGCTGAGATCGCAAGATCGTAGGCAGAATTATTTTAAAGCACTTTAAATGGAAGATTTCATCTCCATTTAAATTATACGTACTTCACTATGTTAAGAACTAGGAAAAACATTAAAGAAGAGATCCAACTGGCCAGAATGTTTCAATTTAAAGCATTTAGAAATTTGAAGTGGCACAGTTCTTTTTAAGATGCGTTATTCTTCTGTCTCTAGGTGCTTGCAGACTTTTTTGTTAACATATTTTTGCCTTGCAAAGATGAGCCCTTAGGTGTGTGAGGAAAACTTGTGTTCTGGAATCAGTCATGAATTTAAGATTTTAGGGCTTTGACCCTGCTCTTTGAATTTACTGCTGTTTTCTGAAATCAGGAATTAACATATACTCCTTCTGTGACTGTGTTGCCACATCAAGGTATTTGATTGTTTAATGTCTTATTCTACAAATTTGCTGGCTGTGACGTAGGTAGTTGTTCTGTATTTTTTTGCATTCTCAGTATTTTTGTATATATATTCTCTCCTGAAGTATTTAATATGGAGGTTATTTAAAGGTAGAAAAGGAAGCTTTGGCAGAGGATTTAGCTTTCCTTGTTTACAGCAAACCCCATGAGAAATCCTTCCCAGGCACACATGCACACACACAGACACACATACACACAAAAATCAATGCAAAAGAGTAGGGCATTCATTAAGCTGTCAAAAA